CAGACATCTGTTGTGGGCGTTCTTGGCAGTTTTTACAAGGCTTTTTTAAATAGTGTTCATTCATATCGATATCGGAATTATATCGTATCGACCGAAATTAAGAAATATATCGTGATATAAATTTTGGCCATATCGTCCAGCCCTAATACATAGCATGAAAGTTTAAGTTAAACTAGCATGCATTTCACAGAAGCTTTTATCCACAGCCACTTACATTGCATTTCATGGTAACGTTATGCATTTGATCAGTTCTTGCATTCCCTGGGAAATCCACATAAAGGGTTCACAAACTTTTTCTGACAACTGTACTTTTTACATGATCATTTCAATTATTTACCCTATAAATCTGATTCATAATATGACATTAATTGATAGGGTTATTAAATGGTATACTATCACATCCATATATCGATATCAATTAATGAATGAACTCACCTTTACGACGATACCCGTGGGAATATGCCTGAGCACCACGCAGTTGCTGGTTTTGTTGGTGGCTTGTCCTCCTGGACCAGATCCACGAACAAACTGTTCATCAAGGTCTTTCTCGTGGACTACTGGCAGGTCAATTTGGTATTTCTTACCAGCAGCGAAAACACACGGCCATCCTGTTACCCGTAGCCACGGCTGATGGAGTATGAGGCTCGTCCCTGTGTTCAGCGATCCCCAGAGCAGCTTCCAGGCAGCGAAAAGGCGCTGATGGACTAAAAGAGGCGAAGTCATCCTTCAAAGTTTCCCCTTGCAGCCACATAGAAGGCCACAAATATACTGGTCGGAATATAAACCAATTACGCGCATTCAAGTAACATCCCTGAAAATAAACGAACACAAAACTCCCAATCTGATAGAAATACACAGCATAATGCAGCAATGTACTACATACTGTACACACTGAACTTCTTCTTCTTCTTCTTCTTCTTCTTGTTTTATGGCGGGTGGCATCCAACGTTAAGGTGCATTACCGCCACCTACTATACTGGAGTGTGGACCAGAGTGACTAACATAACTTTATATACATAAAAAAAAAAACATATAATAATTTTTATTAAAAAAAATACATAAATAAAAAAAACATTATTAATAATAAAATAACAATTATACTTTATATTCTATTTATTAACCCAGTCTCCCTCAAGAATACAATTAAAGAATTATAATTTCCTGTTTGACCGAGTATTTGCTTTGCATCTAGTATCTCCTGTGGTGTCCTTCTGAATATTTCTCTTTCTATAATATATTTTTGGCAGTGACATAGAACATGTTCTACTGATTCCTCCTCCTGACAATACTCACACAGACCTGTGGGATGTTTTCCAATGAGATGTAATGTCTTATTTAGTCTTGTGTGACCCAGTCTTAACCTTGATATTATATTTTCCTCCTTGGTACTTCGCCCTGTCATCCTCATCCTTCCCACTTCTTTCTGGATGTTATAAAGATGTCTGCCTGTACTTCCCTTGTTCCATTTATCTTGCCATTTACTGATGATTTTACTTTTAATTATTGTCTTTATTTCTGCTTTGCTAAATAAAATGTCCATTGTATTTTCTTGCTTGATTGCTTCTTTTGCTAATGAATCTGCTGTTTCATTTTATTTAACTCCCCTGTGAGCAGGCACCCACATAAATGTAACCACTATATTCAAATTATGAAGTCTGAAAAGAGTTTCATATATTTAATTAACTATGTCTTGCCTACCCCGGGA